TTCTTCTGCTGAAAATGAAATATTTTTTGTCCACATCTACACTCAGATCAAAAAAGTTATGGCTCCAACCAAAACAGTGGTAAGTGTCAGATCTATGACATCTGCGAACAGTTTGTGGGGCACGCAGATTGATAGATTTCTTTATGCTAATTTCTGTTTAGTTTGATAAGGCTTGATTGATTCTTGTCTGCTTGTTATCGCCCACTGTGTAATCGTAATCATGTCTGTGTATACTGCCTGTCTCATGTATTAACAATCATTTCTCACATAAAGTTTCTTCCATGCCCTGACGCCAAACTGTCCAGCATCTTCTATGCTGGTCTCTCCCTGCCTCTTTTTCTCTGCAGCATCCCTGCTATCTTGACAAACTTGTTTTCCCCTTCTCACAATATGATTAGAATTCTTATAAATATTCAGAATATACTTAAAAATCTGACACTTTTTTCTCGACAAAAGTGAAATCTGTTGCTATATTCTCCATTGGACAGGTGACCTTTTGAGAAAAAAGAGTTAACCAATTATGTAATTTTAAATTCACTTCTATAGTTACTACAATAGAGAAACATAACTCTTTGAAATTTAGCTAAAACAAGACAATGACAATCAAATGTATATTACTTGTTGTGTGCTGCAGTCTGGGAATGCAGAGCTTCTGCAATGATGTTTCCCTCTTCATCAACTATGGCTGCTCCTGTATCATCACAGCTGGTCTCGATACCCAAGACCAGCTTCTTAGAGCAGGCTTGTGCTGATGAGGAGATATTTGCCTGAAAGCTCCAGCAATGACTACATTTACTGCACTGTCTATTATAACCATTATGTTCCTTGTTAGCAGAGTGTGTAATGAAGGTCCTTAATATATGAGTTTCACACTGATGTCTCTTAATGATACTTTTGACAGAAATTTTCAATGCTTGTTGGCAAATAACCCGTACTGCAGGGTTAGTTTGCAGCAGCCGTTGTAGAGGGAAAATTACAGCCATCGTCACTACTGAGACTTGTCACACTAGAACAGTGAAACTTTCATCAGGTATCCAATAAGAAACAATTGATTGCATCCATTCCTAACAGACTCTCTGATGTATAATGAATATGCATGATGAATACGTTGCAACACTAACTATAAAACAATATCTGTTCTAGTATCAAAAAAAGCCAAAAAAGGGAAATTTTTTTGGGTGTGGGGTAGAGTTTTGTAATTGTTTACATTTTTTAGGTTTGAGCAAATAGGGGTTCAGTTTATGTGGCAGATTGGAGAAAAAAAAA